ATTCGTAATACTTTTGTTCTGTCCTAGTGACACTGATTTTAGTATGAATGCAGGTATGTATACTTAGTTAAATATTTTATTATTTAAAAGTATAAACTCTTTATCATAGTATTTAAATCCCGCTGTGTTTATAGTTCGTATATCTTTTATGGGTTGATACACTCGGTTCACTATAAACAATGCTCTGATACCAATCTGTCACACCCCAAAACCGGAACGGCTGAAACGTTCAGGGGTGGAGGACGTCTTGTTTAGTATGACAACAATGAATAGTAGTAAACAAGCAACAACATCATCCATTGCATTAATAATATAATTTCATACATGTGTGTTCTGTAAAGTTTATAAGACACCAAAAATGTAAATCAAAATAAACGATGAGTCTTGAACGAGCTCCATCTTCTCAAAACCTGGCACCGGTACCTGTCTACTGGTGACCTGAGAATACAAGTTATTTTGAAAGAGTTTATCAGCTTTAAAGCTGGTGAGATCATAAGTATTTTAGTGTCATTGTTTGTATGAAAGTGTTTGTAAGTATGTGATGTATAAGTTTATAAAAGTTTGTAATTGTTTGAACTCTCCTAGAAAACCCTATGTTTCCTACTAAAAGTAGCCTTCTACCAAGGCATCTAGTATCTGTGTGTGTATCTTTTATAAGAGTATGTATTTTCCCAAGTCTGATTATCATTAACCAAAATATAGTTCTTACATTTCTGTTTATTGTGTAAATATCACAAAGTGAATGTAATAGGAAAATGAAATAGTACTGTAGTATTGTATTAAGTAACTACTGCTGTACTAACTACTTTAAACCATATGTCATTTAAAGTATTATGTGATCGGCGTGTACCATACTACCGACTAGTAACACGACGATGTAAGACGTCGGAAGGAATGACGTTTGGCACCCGTAGACTTGCAAGTCCCACTGTAGCTAGCAGCAAGGTGTAGGATAGTCAATCCAGTATAGATCTATACGCAAACTCAACGCTCCTCATTTAAGGAGATTCTGGATACAAAACGACCCATGACAGGTGATGCCATGCCCAGTTACGTGGCTCACATATCTGTAATAGTATTCTTGTATATGTATTGAATGTACTAGCTGTATTGTGTGTTCTCTCTCTGTCTAGTATGTATGTATGTTCTCTCTGTCTTTCACAATAGTATGTTCCCTAGTATAATGTATAGTATGTACTAGGTGCATTGTAATGTATGAATTGACTCTTTGTATGTTTCATTGTCCTAGTAATAGTATTAGTATCTCCCTAAACTATACCTATTATAGTTTACTAGTGATGTAGTTTGTATGTATGAACATGTTTGTATACCCTTGCTACCCAAAGGTATTGAATTGAAAGAAGGAACCTCTATATCTATATACATATACATAATATATAACTAGGATTCAAACGACCTTCGGACAAATAACCTGTATACCCTAAGTCCACAAGCAAACAAGGAACAGGAAGTAAGGTGAGCTATCAGTCCTAAGTCCTTTAAATCCTACTTATATAACTATATCTATATAGATACACTTTTAACAGAATATAAGTTTGAAAGAGTTTAATAAAAGTATTTGACATGTAAAAGAGTTTGATAATACAGTTAGAAAAGTAAGAAATCCACTTGTTTGGTAGTTATTAATCACATGTGATTGATATAATAACTATAATAGTTCAGATTGTATTCCCCCCCCCCCCCCCCCCCCGTAAAAGCATTTAAAATCATTTAAAAGGTTAATTAAGGGGTATGAACTCACCTGTAGTGAGTGGTTTGGATGAACGGATTGATATAGGATGCTAAGTGTCAAGTGAAGACTTGAACACACACAAGGATCCTAGTTAACATATAATAACACATATATGTATCCAATTAGTCATTTAACAACTAATTAACCAAGTTAAGACATCCTAAGACATGTAAAACACTTGATTTAAGTGTTATAAGAGCTAAGGATTGCATCTAAGGGTTGTAGGACTTGGCTATTGAGTTTAGGGTCCAAGGGTAAACTCTTTTGGAGTTTACGGTTTTGGGGCCAACTCTTATTGAGTTTACGATCGTAAACCCATGATTTTACGGCCGTAAACTCATGGTACTTTTACCATTTTGTGTTTTGAAGCTTTAAAGGTCATAAGAAGCATTCCTACTTCATGTCTAAGCATTTGGAAGTGATTAGGGCACCATTACACTCCTTTGTGGAGTTTACGGTCCATGGACCATTTCTCCTTGGGTTTACGGCCGTAAACCCAAATGGTTTATGGTCTTTTTGATGTTTAAGGTCCTAAGTACGTCAATAATAGATCTAGACTAGTATCCCAGTCTTGGTAAGGGACTAGGGCACACTTTGGCCCCTTCATTAGGGTTTACGGTCCAAGAACATCTTGGACCGTAAACACCTTTGATCTTGTGTTTACTTGTGTTTTCTAGTTGATTAAGATGTGAAACAAGCCTTATAACACACTAGGGTAAGAGTACTTACAATAAGGAAGCTTGAAAAGGTGTTACAAGTCCAAGAACACTAGTGTGTGTTCTTGGTGAAACTAAGAACACTTGAAGATCTACACAAATGGAATGATTTCATGGATGAAATCATGTAAGATCACTAGGTTATGTAAGATATCAACTAATTAGGGTAAGAAACACTTACAAAGTTGAAGATCAAGAAGGAAAATCGAATGCTACTTGAGAGGATTTGAGTTCTAGTTCTTGAAATGGTGAAAAAGTGGTAAAAATGACTAAGTGTCACTTTTGTACCCTCTTGGGGTTTATGGCCGTAAACACCTTGTTTAGGCCGTAAACTCCAAACTCTTGTAGTTTTGGGACATTATTGTTGCACAATAAACCCTAGGGCATCCTCTCTCCTGTTATCTCTTGGGTCACGAAGAAGCGGTGGCAGACCCTGCGGTGGTCACGGGTACGTTTCTTCTCAACAATACTTATGCATGCATTCTATTTGATTGTTGTGCTGAGAAGAGCTTCGTGAGCCATAATTTCAATCACCTGCTAAATCAAAACTCCCAACCACTAAATGAAACTTTCACAGTCGAAGTGGATAACTGGAAATTTGAATACACCAATGATATATACATAGGATGTATCCTTACCTTGAATAACTTTTCGTTCACAATAGACCTTATGTCGGTCTCTATCAAAAGTTTCGACGTCATAATAGGTATGAATTGGTTGTGCCCTAACCATGCTGACATCCTATGCTATGAAAAAGTCGTTCGACTGAACTTGCCAACTAATGAAACTCTCATTGTCTACGGCGACAAACCCGGAACGAATCTTCAGATCATTTATTGCATAAAGGCACAGAAGTACCTTCACAAAGAGTATTGTGCTTTCTTCGCTCACGTAGTAGACAAAAATCAAGAAGTAAAAGACATCGCGAGCATTCCTGAGGTCTGCAACTTTCCCGACATTTTTCCCACGATCTTCTAGGAGTGCCACCCGAAGGACAAGTCAAATTCAGAATCGACTTAATCCCCGGGGCTACCCATGTAGCCAAATCCCCACTATCGTCTTGCACCTTCTGAAATGCAGGAACTATCCAGCCAGCTTAACGAACTCCTTAACAAGGGTTTCATAAGACCGAGCTTCTCACCCTGGGGAGCACCGGTTTTTTTCGTAAAGAAGAAGGATGGATCATTCCGTATGTGCATAGACTATCGCGAGCTGAACAAACTTACCGTCAACAATCGATATCCTCTGCCTCGCATTGACGATCTGTTTGACCAACTTCAAGGTGTGATCTACTTCTCGAATAGACTTAAGATCCGGGTATCACCAGTTACGGATTTTCGAGGACGACATTCCCAAAACCGCGTTCAGAACTCGTTATGGTCATTACGAGTTTGTAGTGATGCCATTCGGATTGACGAATGCATCTGCTATGTTCATGGACCTAATGAACAGAGTGTGTCGTCCATTCCTAGACAAATTCGTCATAGTCTTCATTGACAACATCCTTATCTACTCAAGAAGTGAAGAGGAGCATGGCCAACATCTTCGTCAAGTATTGCAAACTCTTAGAACAGAGAAAATCTATGCGAAGTTCTCAAAGTGCGAATTTTGGATCAGGAAGGTTGATTTCCTAGGTCACGTGGTCAGTTCAGAAGGAATACACGTGGACCCTTCCAAAATAAAGGCAATTGAGAACTGGTCAGCACCCAAAACACCTACAGAAATCCTTCAATTCCTAGGTCTTGCTGGCTACTATCGTAGATTCATCCAGAATTTCTCCCGAATTGCCACTACTAGAAAAACAACCTTTTACGACGTGCAATGTGTGTCGTAACATGCTCAGACGACGTGCAATTACGCGTCAAGGAAGGCCCTGTAATAACGAGAGACGACACGCATTTATGACACACAATGTGTATCATTAAAACCCCTATCAAGAAATGCCATGTCATAAATGAAGATGACACACATTTTTGCGTATCGTAAATTTAAATGTTTAAAAAATATATATTTATATATTTATTAAGTTTTTAAATTTAAATTTGCATTTAATGTCTCATAATAGAAATAAAATACCATATACAAAAAATACAATCCATTGCATAAAATTTAATGTCATACAATTCTATTTCTTACAATATATAAATTTGCATTCATCTAATCTACTCTGTGTTTCATACTAACAATTGAAATGAAGAATGCAACACTTGCATTTGCAACATCTTATCACTTTCAGCTTGAGCATTCTTTTCCTCTTCTAACTCCAGAGCTATTCGCTTTCATCAACCATGTAAACACAACACAAAATCACTTGTCATTTTCATTCTACTTTTAAAATTAATTCTTATTAGGACATTCTACTTTTAAACCTACCAATCTAGCAAATTTTTCAAAGAATATAATTTATAATTTTTTTTATGAAATTACATTGCTATTTCTTGAATACAAGATGTTACAAATCAAGAAACTTACATGGAATGCTGACGACCAGTTTCCTGCATCATCCGAGTATATATGTACTCATCAACTCTCTAATTTGCCAAAGCAGCCTATTTCACATCAAATTAAAACTGATTTGAATCAAATTTGTATTATAAAAATATTAATCTTATTTTGATAACTAAAAGTTGCAATTTTTTTAAAGGAATCACCAACCTGCTGAGCACTACCACCCAAGTGAATTTGTCTATGTTTGTTTTCCCTTTCCCACCATGAACCTGCAAGACACGAGACATCAAATAAATCAAAATTAAAATTTGATTTTTTTTCCTTTCAGTAACGATTAACATTTAACAAAAAACAAAAGGCCAACCCACTTCCTTTGCGTCATTCCAGCTAACCCGCTCCCTGAAAACAAGAAAAAAATAAAAAAATATCAACCAACATTTTACTTATATTTGAGAGGTTTTCATATTGATTTGTTTATTTGTATAGTTTACATACTACACCTATTAGAGAATTTTGAAAGAAGAAAGTAGAATTGTATAACAGAAAGCCTAACGGATCTTCTGACTTTCAGGTTTACATTGCTGTAGAGTAATTTTTTCTTACTGTTGTATATAAATGTTGATCTATCAGAGGCTGCAAAAACATGGGTTGACCTATTTGATGAAAATGTCCTCAAAGTTATTGGTTGTGTCCCAAGTGACACCTTTTTCTTGTCTGTTAATTCCCATGTGCTTGTGTTGAGTAAAAAGTTCAAAAGATGTCCACCAGTCTCACTGAGCTTGAAGTAACCTGAAAGAACGAAAATTTAATTAAATGGGGTATCAATATAATAGCAAAATATTTAGATAATTATACCTAAACAAGTTGATTATGGATAGCATCATGACAGAATAATGTTTGTACTTGAGAGCAAAAACCTTTAATCTCAGTTTCCTCTAATTCATCCTCTAAATTCATTGTCAATATTCGAGTCTCACTAATGAAGCTGACAACCAAAAATGTGTCACCTCTAAATTCATTAATCACTCAAAATGAACAACAACCCTAGAGAATTGAGAGCCTAGCCTCTCCCAAAGGAATAATATCCAGTTTTCACACAAATGAAAAGATGCCTTCCACTCATTCTCTCTACTCCTATATAACCACTACATTAACATAAATGCCCAAAATGCCCCTGCACTAAAAGATGCTCTTTATTTCTTTAGTTTTCCCACAATACCCTTTCCTATAATAACCTGATGCATAGCATTTACATTGCCAATAAGTTTCCATATCAGTAACAATTTTGAACCATATAACTTGCTTGACCAAACTGCCTCTATACCTCCTTTTCTGTTGTCATCAGACCGAAGAGATGACCTGCTGCATACTTTTATGCTATTTACTACTTTTCGGACCTGTAGCTACTCTTGGTTATTGCTTTCTAAAACTTTCTTATTTCTGTCAACTGGATCCATCAACTCCAAACCTCTGCCAACCTCTGCCTTCATTCCACAGTTCCCATGCCTGAGACATTTATGCATCATATATATAGAGATGTTAATCAAAATGATGAAGAAACTCAAATAACTTACAAGCCCTAGAAGGTAAGGTTGAGTGGGTGTTCCACATCATTCATCTTGCTGCTTACAATTTAAAGCAACAAAACACCAAAACCAAACACATCCGTCTTTGTTGAAACAGAGCCTTCTAACATATACTCTGGGGGCATATAACCATTGTATATCAATATATCCAATAAAGACCCGAGTGTTATTATTGATTAGGGGCTCATATTGACAAAAGATAAGTTATGGAATCACCGTGTTCCAACAACTCGACTTGTATTTGCTTCAGACTTATCCATCTCAAATAACATAAAACCTGATATTTTTGGCTTCAGGTAGTCATCTAGCAAGATGTTACTTGCTTTACGATCTCTATGGATAATCTTTAGCCTTGAAAATCTATAGAGGTATAGGAGTCCCTGAGCCATTAAATGCCATCAAGATTACAAATCGTGTATTCCAATCAAGTAATCCTTTCTTCCTAGAATCTGTTCAAAATTAAATGAGAAAGATAGCCAGACAAGATGAAGTAAATGTTGATTAGATCTTACCAAATAGAAAGGAGTCCAAACTTTTATTAGGAATGTATGTACTCGGCAATCAAAGGAATAAACTCACTGTGAACCTCAGGACAACAATAAAAATTAAGCTGGAAACAGGGGAGTTTATTACAGCGAGAGAGATGAGAGATGAGAGAGAAAGAGATAAATGGAGGGGAAGAGTAGCTGCAACCTGCCCGATGATACTGCCCGTAAACTTTACCTTCACTGTAATTGTCTCCGTTCATCACGCCGATGTCAAGATCTCTGTAGTTCAAGAACGCACCACTTGGATTCTTTGATACGAATGGTGTCATGAAATTGTGCATAACCCTTGTTTGATTCAAGTAATTTCTTTCAAGTGTGGGATCAGGGTCGCTCCACCCGATGGAATATTGGATTTTGAAAATATTGTCGGCGCGGTGAGGCATTGGACGTAGTCGGACTTCCGTTTTCCGAAGTTGATGTTGTCGGAGTGGCGGTTGAGGAGAATCTCCGGCGGTCGTGTTGTCGAAGTTGGCCCAGTAAAGTACGGAGTCAATCCAACTTCCTTCCACACAATTCTATTAGGGTTGATAGGGATCGATGGCCTAGCTGTCGATTTCATCAGATGCAGTCCGAACTCTTAGAGATGATGGGGTTCGATACTGGTGGTGGTGGTTAGGGCTTCCAAAGGGAAGGGATAGAGAATGCAGAGGTAGAGGAAGATGGGCTGCTTCAAAAGGATTGACAACCTCTAAATTCTATTAGGGTTCATTGGTAGAGGATTGTAGAAGGAGAAGAAGGAGATACATGGCGAGGTGTTTAATTTTTTGGGATTTCATTTCCCGGCTATTAAAAAAATGGAGAACGTGCGCCTTCCTAAAAAAATATAAAACGACACCTTTAGAGGACACGCTTTTTTCCTTAGGTGCCCTCCATGTTTTTAATTGTTTTTCTTGAGACACTAATTTAAGGGCACGAAAAAATGTGTGTCCTCTATCCTTCAGTTTTTGGAAACCTGAAATTATTTTTAAGGACACACAAAAATGCGTATCGTGTGACATCCCCATTTTTACGGCCAGAAAAGACCGATTTAGTTTATGCTTTTTAATAAAAAACGGAGTAACTTCTTAATAAAAGTGTTGCGGAATTTCGTTCCCAGAAAAACATGAGAAATATGTTATCAAAGCATTTCCGAAGAAATGTATTTTATTCCTTTTAAAACCTTGGGATGTCAACGTCAATACAGAAACATAAGCATAAACAGAACTTACATTCATTTACACTAGTGATCTACATCTCTTTAATCCCTCAGTGAAGTGTAGCTTTATATCGACACCTGTGATACAAATAAACTGAGTGGGTCAGGTTGGGAAACCTGGTGAGTACATAGGGTTTTCAACCCATAATAATAAAGTTATTATGTTTTATCATCAAACAATTAACCCAATTACCCATCCCCATTATATATAACTTCTTTTTATTCCTAGGGATCTACCCTAAGGATCATCTATCACTCATTCCTAAGGGTTTTCCTAAGGAATAGGCGCGAAGTCCATCGTCGCCAAGGTTTATACAACAGGCACTAAATCCATAGCCGCCAGGGTTCATCCAACGTGTTCTAAGTCCATAGCTCTCATTTATCGATAGTATTATTTGTGGGAGTCCACCTGCAATACATGTCAATGGGTTTTTAGAGTACACCGGGTGAACATATCGTTCACAACACCTACAGGTAGCGAGCCTGCTAGTGTTCCACAGACTGTCTAGAATAGTCCATGGTTGTCATCCGTACTCTGCCAGATGATGGGGCCATCGTTTGGGTAAAGGTTTCTCTCATTTTTCACCCCTCACCCTCATCTCATAATCTATATTACCTTTTATCTCATCCTCTAACTCATCTTTCATCACACACCAACTATTTCATCTACCCATGTTTTACCCAACATATTTGTAGATATAAAATACATATAGAGTTCAGATCTGAAGAATTAGTTTAGATCTGTAAAGAAAACACATATACGGTTCAGATCTAAAGAAAAAAAGGTCTAGATCTGAAAAACAAAGTTTAAATCTTTCATCATATCTTTCAAAGCATAAAATATATATACGGTCTAGATCTCAAGAAAAAGTTCAGATCTGAAGGAAAGAAGTTCAGAACTTTCATCTAACATAGATCTCAAAGTACACAGTTTAGATCTGAAGAAAAAGCTTAGATCTGAGGTGAGAAAGTGTAGATCTGAAAGAAAAAGTCTCAGATCTAAAAGAAAAGTCTTAGATCTGAAAGATAAAGTGTAGATCTGAAGGTAAAAGTTTCAGATCTGAAATAAAGAAGCATAAATTTTTCATTCAGCAACATTTCAAGTAAATAGCTAACATATACCTATACACATAGCATATAAAATACTTCATATTTATGTGTAAGATGAAAGTGACTATACACTCACCTGATACGGAGTGATTTGGACAACACCACGCTTCTAAAAATAATCTTCTTTGGCGAAACCAGGAAGTTTGCTTGAAAACTGGGCTCCACGCGGCAGAGTTTCAAACCGAAAAACTCTTTTTCTCGGAGACTCCGGGCTCTCCGAGGATTTCTTCAAGTGCTAGGGAAGTTTCCTAGGCTTTTGGGGGGTTTGGGGGGTTAGAGAGAGAGTTTAGAGAGAGAAAGAAGTGGGGAAAGGAATGTGGAATGAGGCAGCCCCGAGCCTCTATTTATAGTACTCCTGGAGCGATACCACGTCGTGGTGACTTTCTCCACGTCGTGGTGTTGCGTAGGCTCCAAGGTTTCCCCTGGTGCTGACACATGGCATCGCATACATGGTGGAAATCAGCCGATTTTCAAAAATTCATAACTTTCGTATACGAGCTCCGTTTTCGGCATTCTTTTTTTCCACGCGTAGGTAAAAACAAGATATACAACTTTCATTTAGACTTAACCGGCTAATTCTCGACCGATCTTAAATTTAACAGTAGGAGGATATTAGACTGTTAAATAGCCGCGAAAAATCCGTAACTCCTTCATATGGACTCCGTTTTCGTCTGTCTTTTTACCGTTGAGTTCCTTTTAATGAGATCTTCAACTCTCATTTAGGTCGCGTAAGCCAAAAACCGCTCGAACAAAATTTCGAGTTTCGGGCCGTGCACTGCTAAGCCAAATCTTAGAAAATTCATAACTTCCTCATACGAAGTCAGATTTTGGCGTTCTTTTTATGGACGCTCTTGGTTTAACATATTCTATGACTTTTGTTTAGATTACTAAGGCCAAAAAGTCTTCTATCGTAAATTCACTATTTTACGGTACCCGGTGCCATGCCGGTATTTCCGCAAAACTTCGACGGGTCATAACTTCTTCGTTACAACTCGGATTTTAGCGTTCTTTATATATCCAATATCCTTGTTTCGACCACTACAACTTTAGGTAAATATATCGGGCTTATATAACACTTTAATTTTGACGCTTATTTTTATTCTTTATTAATTATATCTTTATAATTAAGTATAAAGCACATAATTTCACATAATTCACATAATACTCAAATAATTCATCTTTATTACTTCAAAAATAGTTACAATAGTTGACCTGGACTATTACATCATCTATTAATGCTTAGCCCCGAAACACGGGCGTTACAATTCTCTCCCCCTAAGGATGACTCCGTCCCGGAATCATGCATCAGCAAACAGATGTGGGTAGCGACTCATCATGTCACTCTCTGTTTCCCAAGTGAGATTCGGCCCATTCGAATGTTTCCATCGGACTAGCACTAAGTCGACCATCTTGCGTCGTAACTTCTTAGTCTTACGGTTAACAATTGCCTCGGGCTCTTCGATCATCCTCTTATTCTCGTCCATTCTTAACTCTGAGATTGGAATTATGTCGGGAACTTCTCGCGTGAACTTCCTCAAATAACACACATGGAAGGTGTTCTGAATACCATTTAGTTCTTCGGGTAATTCGAGCTTGTAAGCTTGGTTTCCAATCTTCTGAAGAACTTTGAACGGTCCAATAAACCTTGGACTTAGCTTTCCTTGTTTCCCGAATCTTATAAGTCCCTTCCACGGTGAGACTTTAAGCAAAACCGAATCCCCAACTTCGAATGTCACCGGTCGCCTCTTCTTGTCAGCATAGCTCTTTTGACGATCCTGAGCTGCTAACATCCTTTCCCTAATCACTTTCAGCTTTTCAGCAGTCTGATGGACTATCTCGGGGCCCATAAACTGCTTTTCTTCGGCTTCAAGCCAACAAGACGGCGTACGACACTTTTGTCCATATAAGGCTTGATAAGGTGCCATCTTGATGCTCGAATGCTAACTGTTGTTGTAGGAAAATTCTACCAGAGGTAAGTGTTCATCCCAGTTACCTTGGAACTCTAGGGTACACGCTCTTAGCATATCCTCTAACATTTGAATCGTTCTTTCGCTCTGACCATCGGTTTGCGGATGATAATTTGTACTTAAACACAATTTCGTACCCAATTCCTCTTGTAGACTCCTCCAAAACCTTGACATGAAACAACTATCACGATCTGACACAATCGTTAAAGGAACGTCGTGAAGTCTTACTACCTCCTTCACGTAAGCATTTGCAAGCTTATCCATAGACCATCTTTCATTGGCTGCTATGAAGTGTGCACTCTTAGTGAATCGATCAACGACCACCCAAATCCGTTCGTGACCGTCCTTTGTTATGGGCAGCTTAGTCACAAAATCCATGGTGATGTCTTCCCATTTACGAATGGGTACAGGTAAAGGTTCTAAAATCCCATATGGTTTCTGATGTTGTGCCTTAACTCTCGCACATGTTACACTATCTGCCACATACTTTGCAACATCGAGCTTCATCATCGGCCACCAGTAGTAGGGTTTCATATCCCTATACATTTTAGTGTTTCCATGATGAGTCGTGCACATGGTCTTGTGGGCTTCGTCCATTAAAAGATCTCTTAGTCCTCCCGTCTTAGGTCCCCAAATCCTATCTTGGAATACCTTCAATCCTTGGGTATTCGTACCGAACACCAACGTTTTGCCAAAACGCTCTTCCTTTCGGCCATTTTTTCCTCTGAAGCTTATTCCTAAGCTTTCTTGATGCTTTCCTCAATCGTTGAGACAACTTCTATTCTTAACGTTCCTGGCCTTTCTCTTTCAAGATTTTCTTTTCGAATTATAGCATGAGCTACAACATTTGCTTTACTGAGTTGGTAAATTATCTCACCGTCGTAATCCTTGAGTATCTTTAGCCAACGTCATTGCCTCATATTTAATTTTTTTTATCAAAGAGATACTAGAGACTCTTATGATTAGTGAAAAGTTTTCACTGTGTGCCATAAAGATAATGTCTCCATATCTTTAGAGCGAATACTACCACTGAAGAGTCCAGATCATGAGTGGGGTAGTTCTTTTCGTGATGTTTCAGTTGTTGAGATACATACGTTATCTCCTTATCTCT